ACCTAACCAAACAAAACCACACAAAGATCCATTTATTCAATCACCTAACCAAACAAAACCACACAAAGATCCATTTATTCAATCACCTAATCAAACAAAACCACACAAAGAACCATTTATTCAACCACCTAATCAAACAAAACCACACAAAGAACCATTTATTCAATCACCTAACCAAACAAAACCACACATATAACCATTTCTTCAGCCACTTGAACAAATGATACCAAACAAATCACCTTTTATTAAGTAATTTGACCAAGCAAAATCAAACAAATCATTCTTTATTCAGCCAGCTATCTGACAAAGCAAAATGAAAATAAGAGTTCTTGCTGGATGATTTGCATAACCAAAACCTCGAACGCAAGTCTATATGGATTATTACGCTTGGGCACAGCTTTTATAATAGATAAAGTGACAGGAAGTAAATAGATGATTCGTTTATAAAATATGGTCCTCACCTTTCGCGCTTCTTTTTCTGTCTCACGCGAGCAATGTTCATCAAGTCGGAAAGAGTTGTGTTGGTCACCAATGTCCGATTGTTGGCCAGCGTTTCTCTCTGAATGATCTCAACTTCCGAGGCGTTTACCACTCTGATCGGAAATGGTGTGGGCCTTGAAAAGTATCTCAAGTTCTGCGTGAGAAAGTTGTCCGTGACCGCGACTGTATGACCCCAGCACCAGCTGGTTGCTCCGACCAGTAGAAAGAGTTTGTAATACATGTTTTTCCAGATCAACAACTTTTATTCAAAACCCCAGATTTAAAGTTCACTGATTACCACAATTATTAAATGTATAAATATGTAATTCGAACTTACTTAAAGACAAATTTTGTTCAAAGGATTTCTTGAGAAAGTTGTTTCTGTTCTATAGTTAGCTGTTTGCTGTACGATAACTTACTATCGATCAGGACTCGAAGTCTTGAAACAACGTCCAGGTCGACTCCAGACCAGGAATATGGCAACCAATCAACTCCTAGTCTTACTACTCCTAGTATTTGATAAATTAGAAGGCGCCTCCCCTTTCTGTCTTCGTCGTCTGCAATCTAGGTATACAAACATGTACCACGTGCCACCCCAGATACCTAATATGTGGACGAATGAACTGAAGTTTCTCTTTTACCGAAGCGACAGACCAAACTGGGTGTGGGAGTATGCAGCTCGTACTGAATGACAATCAAAGGAAGAGAGACGCATCTTTTGTCACTACGCGATCATTCAAAGATTGATGATATAAATATCGTCTCGACCAGTACTATGTCTGTCGTACCCCAAATTTGGTATTTAGCGAAAGACCTCGTCGGCACTGGATATAGCAGATATAGTGTTGGTGAAATATTTTTACATTCTTCTGTACTTTCACTTACGATTATACCGAATAAAGAGGAGACATGGGCAGGGCGTCATTATAGAGTATGTATATCTTCATCCACGAGTGAAATATCATCGCCATTCTTCGACCAAATATAATAAAGAGTATTTTCAACCTTGAAAGTGGAATTCATTCAGCGACAACAGGGTAAAGTTTTCACGAGGCATCAGAAGTGCTTTATTACTCCATTATTTATACATGATACTGGTTAGGTCACTGCGGCTTCTGGAAAATCAGGGAACTTTCAATAAGATAAAGTTCGCTTACTTTGAGTAGTAACAGTTAGTTATTTACAGATAAACTTGATAGTGTTTTGGGTGGTCTGTAGAGCGGTTTCTAAAATCATATTTACTGAAAGAAATGGAAAACTACGCTATTTTCAACGTCTGTCCACCAAACTCCAATAAATAACCAGTTGACAACAGACCTCATAATTCGTTCCAGCAGGAAATTCTCTTCTAAACTACAAAGGTCACGTGCACTAAAAGTCTAAACTTTTTGTTGGTAAAACAATTTATGTCTAACGCAACATTCAATTTATGTCTAATAATAATGTTAAAAAGATACGAGCGGACACAACAGTGAAACTACAATAACACTGCCGTTAAAACAAGTTATAATATAACACTACACTAATATAACACTGCCGTTAAAACAAGTTATAATATAACACTACACTAATATAACACTGCTGCTGAAACAAGTTATAATATAACACTACACTAATATAACACTGCCGTTAAAACAAATTATAATCTGACACCACACTGATATAACACTGCTGTTAAAACAAGTTATAATATAACACTACACTGATATAACACTGCTGCTGAAACAAGTTATAATATAACACTACACTAATATAACACTGCTGCTGAAACAAGTTATAATATAACACTACACTAATATAACACTGCTGCTGAAACAAGTTATAATATAACACTACACTAATATAACACTGCTGCTGAAACAAGTTATAATATAACACTACAATGATATAACACTGCCGTTAAAACAAATTATAATCTGACACCACACTGATATAACACTGCTGTTAAAACAAGTTTTAAATCAACACCACACTGATATAGCACTACTGTTAAAACAAGTTTTAATCTAACACCACACTGATATAGCACTACTGTTAAAACAAGTTATAATCTAACACCACACTGATATAGCACTACTGTTAAAACAAGTTATTATCTAACACCACACTGATATAGCACTACTGTTAAAACAAGTTATAATCTAACACCACACCGATATAACACTGCTGTTAAAACAAGTTATAATCTAGCACCACACCGATATAACACTGCTGTTAAAACAAGTTTTAAATCAACACCACACTGATATAGCACTACTGTTAAAACAAGTTATAATCTAACACCACACCGATATAACACTGCTGTTAAAACACTTTATAATCTAACACCACACTGATATAACACTACTATTAAAACAAGTTATAATATAACACCACACAGATATAACACTGCTGTTAAAACAAGTTATAATCTAACACCACACCGATATAACACTGCTGTTAAAACAGTTATAATCTAACACCCCACTGATATAACACTGCTGTTAAAACAAGTTATAATCTAACACTCCATTGATATAACACTGCCGTTAAAACACTTTATAATCTAACACCCCATTGATATAACACTGCTGTTAAAACACTTTATAATCTAACACCACACCGATATAACACTACTGTTAAAACGAGTTATAATCTAACACTACACTGATATAACACTGCTGTTAAAACAAGTTATAATCTAACACCACACCAATATAACACTGCTGTTAAAACAAATTATAATCTGACACCACACTGATATAACACTGCCTTTAAAACAAGTTTTAAATCAACACCACACTGATATAACACTGCCGTTAAAACAAGTTATAATCTGACACCACATTGATATAGCACTACTGTTAAAACGAGTTATAATCTGACACCACACCAATATAACACTACTGTTAAAACGAGTTATAATCTAACACTACACTGATAGAACACTGCTGTTAAAACAAGTTGTAATCTAACACTACACTGATATAACACTGCTGTTAAAACAGTTATAATCTAACACCCCACTGATATAACACTGCTGTTAAAACACTTTATAATCTAACACCACACTGATATAACACTGCAGTTAAAACACTTTATAATCTAACACCACACTGTTTTAACACTACTGTTAAAACAAGTTATAATCTAACACCACACTGCTATAACACTACTGTTAAAACAAGTTATAATCTAATGCTGCTATTATATTTTAGCTTGAACTTCTGTTATTAATGTAAAACTTACCAGCATGTACTGCTGTTACTGATATAATGTACACTACTGTGTACTGCTGTTACTGATGTAATGTTCACTGATGTGTACTGTTGTTACTGAGTTAATACTCTCCAGTGTGTACTGCTGTTACTGATGTAATGTTCACTAATGTGTGCTGTTGTTACTGAGTTAATACTCTCTAGTGTGTACTGCTGTTACTGATGTAATGTTCACTAATGTGTACTGTTGTTACTGATTCATAGTTTCCAGTGTGTACTGCTGTTACTGAATTAATACTCTCCAGTGTGTATTGTTGTTACTGATGTAATGCTCTCCACTGTGTACTATTGTTACTGTTGTAATACTCTCCAGTGTGTACTATTGTTACTGATGTAATACTCTCCAGTGTGTACTATTGTTACTGATGTAATGCTCTCCAGTGTGTACTGCTGTTACTAATGTAATGCTCTCCACCGTGTATTATTGTTACTAACGTAATGCTCACCACTGTGTACTGCTTTTACTGATGTAATGTTCATTAATGTTTACTGTTGTTACTGATTCATACTCTCCAGTGTGTACTACTGTTACTAATGTAATGTTCACTTCTGTGTGTTGTTGTTACTGATGTAATGCTCTCCCATCAGTAAAAGCAGTACACACTGGAGGGCACTACATCAGTAACAACAAAGCACAGGGTTGAGCATTACACCAGTAATAACAATACACAGTGGTGAGCATTACATCAGTAATAGCAGTACACACTGGAGAGTATTAACTCAGTAACAATAGTAAACATTAGTGAACATTACCTGAGTAACAACAATACACAGTGGTGAGTATTACATCAGTAAAAGCAGTATACACTGGAGAGTATTAACTCAGTAACAACAGTAAACATTAGTGAACATTACCTGAGTAACAACAATACACAGTGGTGAGTATTACATCAGTAAAAGCAGTACACACTGGAGAGTATTAACTCAGAAACAATAGTAAACATTAGTGAACATTACATGAGTAACAACAATATACAGTGGTGAGCATTACATTAGTAACAACAATACACAGCTAATGCTCACCACTGTGTATTGTTATTACTGGTGTAATGCTCAACCCTGTGCTTTGTTGTTACTGATGCAGTGCCCTCCAGTGTGTACTGCTGTTATTTGGTGTTATTTGCTGTTTCGATAATCTAGTATATTATGATTACTCTAGAGGGATTGCTCTATAGAAAACAGGGTTGAGAACTTTGGATTAAAACGATTTTTAATATAATAATCAGCATTTTATGTAATAACTATATCCATTGGCCTGTATCACAATTAAATTTAGATATTGTTTCATAGATAGGGTGATGTTACCGAAAGTTCATCGCTTGTAGGAAAGGTATGCAACAGCCCTATCCGACGTACATTATCCTCGCATAATGTGTTCTAATAATGGATTCAAAATTTAGACCAATCAAGAGTGAGACCTGTAATAAGTTGTACCCTGTCCATGGTAAGCAAATTGTAACGGGTTAGAATCCATAAAAACGAAGGTCAGTGAAAAAAGTCGCCCACGTGCCTCAGGAAACATAAAAAAAAGAAGAAATAAAGGTGTGGAAAGTCATTCTTCCTCTTCAACAGTCTCACACCTCATGCAGCTAGAGAATGAAATATGTATTCATGCTAATATACATGAAAGTTACTGATCGCACAGTGTTGTGTGATCCGACTGCTGGAAAACGTCATCCTCGTATACTGTATGAATTATGTAACGTCTTCAAGAAGGTGTGCTATCCTTTGAGAATGGAAGCCTTACGATAGAGTCTTTTACAATGAAAACTATGATGCAGGACTATGGTAAAGATGCACAGTCGTCAAATGGAGTGTGACTGAACGTGACGAAATAGGCTGTAATGACGTGGTGATGTTCCAAAATTGTTATAACATAATGTACTCAAACTTCTGTAGTGACATTGTAAGAAACAATACACAACCTGAATACCAGTAAGAATAGGTTATCAGCATTATACTTAGAAAACAACTCAATTGGCATATGAAAACAACCATGTCAAAGTTTGCAAAACAAAATACATTAATTTTGTAGCAGTCAATAACACTTAAAGATATATCTACGCCTGTGGTTTTATCATATTTCTGAAACTGATATGCATTTAAAATATTGGCCTTTTATAAAGAAAAATAACAAATTTTATTTT